GCCGGGGGCCGACCCGCAGCGCTGCAACGAGCTGCTGTTGCTGGCGGCAGCCGGGGGGCCGGAGAGGCGGGGTCTCCCCGGGGACTGGACGAAGGAAAAGCTGCCACCGCCGTCCCAGCACCACGTCCTCTATTTCCCGGGGGATGTTCAGGTAACCCGGGGCCACCTCGGCACCCTGCTTCCGACCCCCGCGCCCTCGCTTTCCCGGCAAGGCTGGTGCCGACTTCCCCGCCGCGCCCAAACAACCCCCCCACGCGCGCCCCGGGGCGTCACCCCCACCCCCCCCCCCCCGAGCCCCTGGGGAAAGGCGGCCTTGGTGGGCTCTGGCCCCCAACGAGGCGGTGGGATTTGAGCCTTATTAGAAATGGGAAGGCGTAATGTACATTCATTTTGCAACCTGGTTTCTGAGTGTACTGAGGCTGGGACCGAGAGATAGGCTTTGGAATTGAGGCGCTGCAATCATTTTTTAAAGCAGCAAACAAGCGTGCAAGCCAGCAACAAAACCCTACCGAGATATATGGCATTCTTTCCTAACCCTGAAAGGACAGAGGAGGAAGAAAGGGGGTAGTAAATTGCTAGACATGTCAGGCTTTCTGTGCTCACCTAAAGTCTGTACTTTTGATTTTGTGGGTGACTTAATTTCATAGCTACAGGCAATACAGATGGCTATTTTGTTCCTCTGGTAGCTGGGTGTTAATCTAGAACTACACTGTGTAATAAAGGTAGTCATTAGCCAGATCTGACTATTTAAGTGGGGTAAAATGAAATAAAACTTAAAAATGTAATTCCCTTTCTCAGTTGGACTAGCCGCATGGCAAGTGCTCGTAGCCACAGGCTAAGCAGGGCAGTGGTTGGCATTTCCAGAGAACCTCACCACCAGCACAGAAGTTCCACTGACAGTGCCGGTCTGGAGAGGCAAAGTGAGAACAGGACTCGATATGTGTAAAATACATCATTTTGAAATGAATGGTTTTAAAATGATATGCTTAAAAACTTTATGCCTGAACTAAATAACGATTAACATACATATGTTAGTTTCTTTACCTTCAAAAAGATTGATTGGTCTCATTGGCTATCAATAACAGCTCTGAGGAAGAGTCAAAGAAGAAACCTAATTTACTTGCCCAGATTTGAGTGAACAGCAGACAGCATTACTTTTGAATTTATGGACCGGCTACTGTGCTTTTACTGATGACAGTATGATAACTAACATTTATTGAGCACCTACTGAGTGTTTTTAAAGTGTGTCAGCCAGGTGAGGTTTCAAAAGCGCTGCTCAGTACATTTGGAGTTTGACTCTCTTACATTCAGCATTATCCATCTACTTAGGCATACGCAACCTGAGATGCCATTAGCTCTTTGGACAATGATATACTGTTGATTTATGCAAAGTGTAAGTGCTCTAAAAACCTTAGGTCTTTTATAGACGAAATAGAGGCTGGCGCAGCATCTGTAGACGTCAAGGCCAAATTCCTTAGGCTTAAACCCTGATTCTGCAGTGTTTAGTTGTGAAATCTCTGTTGCTATTACCTTAGCTATAAAATGGGAATGGTAATTTATAGGATGTTTAGGATGATTAAATCTATGAATACTCAATGAACTATACAGCCCCTTAACTTCCTGATGACCATTTCTGATTGTTGTGAGTACCCCAGCACTCTGCACCCACTCTCAATCAGGTGGCTTTACATACTGCCTAATGTTGACACCTCACTACATTCGGATGGCAGGCTTGGACATCTTCCTGAATTTTAGACTCACCAATTGCATTTAGTAGACAGCTCAAACCTACAATTTCCAGATTGTTATTTCTAAGCCTACACTTCCTACACATCTTCATCCCAGCTACTGCCAGCCACCTTTTCAGGTGCTCAATTTAGAAATCTTAAAGTCATTCTTCACTTCTCCCTTTCACATATCATACCCAGTTTAGTAACAGGTTCAGTAGCTTCATATTTAAATGTTCCTAGAAGTGATCAGAACAATTAAAAAGTAAGTCAAATCACGTCACACTTGTGGCTCAAGCTTCTCCAGGGACATCCTGTGTCACTTCAAAGGAAAGCCAGCATCCTCTGTGGTTTTGAAGCTTGTTGCAATTTCTACCTTTATTCTGACTCAGTTACCTTTCTTTGTCATCTCTTGCTGTATTACTCCACCAAGCACACTGACCTCAAATGCTTTTCTTGCACCACGCACGGCAGTCTTCCTGTAGATACCTGCAGGATTCGTCACCTCACCTTTTCAAGTCTTTGCTTAAAAGGCACATTCTCAGGGAGGCCTTTTCTGACCATCTTATTAATAGATAGGCTTCTTATAACTATGCTCTTTTATCCATCTCACTTGTCTGTACTATATTATTTATTTAGTTTGGGTTTTGTCTGTCTTCACAGATACTTGTAAACCTACAACAACTAGTAGGCCCATTCTATACCTGCTACGAGAATCAAAGACAAAGGGTTATTAGGGTAATTTGACCTACTTGTCCAGAAATATTGAGACTAGGACCAGGGTTTCAGCTAGTTGGATCCCTGACAGCTGTGAGGACAACTACATTGGGTACAAACTGTACTGTGTTTGTACCAAAAGTGGGTCAGGGGGCATCTTCCCTTAGCATAAAGTGGATGTCTCAATTAGGAGGCTGGAACGAAACAGGATCTGGCCCCCAGGGTGGCCTGGGCAGCTCAGAAAGCCCAGGAGCAGAAGCTCTGGTCAGGGTATACCACCACAGTCATCTAGCTCATCTGTAGGAAAGCAGAATGTTTAAAGGATAGGTAAGAGCCTCTGCAGTGCAAAAGAATACATTACTATCCAGGCCACAACAGTAAGGTGAATGCTAAAAGTGCAACCTGAAAGAAGCCAGGCACAGAAGACTACATCCTATATGACTACAAGTGAATGGAATTCTACAAGAGTGGAGGAAAACAGATTGGTAGTTGGTTGCCTTGGGCTGGGAGCAGGGAGTGGTTAAGATGGTTTCCAACATCATGACGGAGGTGGTTATATAACTATACCATGTCAACAGTCATCAAATAGTGCCTTTTATTTTATGTATGTAACTACGCCTCCAAAAAAAGGTATAATGTTATGTCCTGTGGCTTTAAGCAGTAAGATATCTCAAAAGAATTGGAAAACACCTCGTGGTAGGTGCCAGCAAGTTGATTCCAACTCAGCCATTCCATGTGACAGAGTAGAACGGCCCCATAATCTTTGCAAGACAGATTGCCAGGGTTTTTTCCTGTTGAGCTGCTAGCTAATTTCAAACCCTTGCCCCTTTTGATTAGCAGTTGGATGCTTAATGTTTGCACCACCTGGGTTCTTTTTTTAAAAAAAATCCTGGTGACTGGAACACACACACACACACACACACACACACACACACACACACACACACACAGAGGTATCATACTTTCATCAACTTTTCTGAAATTCAGATAACAAGCCAAGTATAGAATTTTAAACACATTCACTAAAAGGAACATTGGGAAAGTAATGATGATTTGCCAAACTCAAGCTCACTGCCACCGAGTCAGTGTTGACTCATAGCCACCGGAGTCAGTGTTGACTCATAGCCACCGCCGTGGGTTTCCAGGACTGTAACTATTTACAGGAGTAGAAAGCCTAGTCTTCCTCCTGAACCGTGCCTAGGATGAGCCCGTGGGATGTAGTGGGTACGCTTTGCGCTGTGATCCACATAGTAGTTAGTTTTGAAACGACCAGCAGCTCCACAGGAACTTACATTATTAAATCCCATATTTGGGACTATAACAATATAAGTATAGGTAACATTTGTAAAGACATATGCAAAGATGTGTACAAAGACATTCTGTAATGTTAATTATCACACTGTTTGTTCCACTGAAATCAAGCATAGTCTTCAGGCTGCTAGAGTTATCCAAAGAGGGAGAGCTGCAGAATGACCATTGGTGGGGAAATAGTTTAGAATCCTGTGTTGTTCAAAAGTGTGCCTACTAACCAAATTTATGTTTTCTGTTAATGTGTTTAGAAAATTGATCATGTTTACTAAGATATATGTCTTCTAAAAGTCTCTTGCTAGTCACCGTGTATTGTAACCCTAAATGAACTTGAGGCGTAAACTGAGAACATTATTTGTTCAAATTCTTATAAACAGAATCAGTGATAGAAGTAGTTTTCCATTTCTAGTATACTGGCCATAAGGAGGTGCTGGTGGAGGTGTTGGGCTGCTAACCACAAAATCAGCAGTTCAAACCCACCAGCTGCTCCTTGGGTGAACAATAAGGATTTAGTCTGGGAGCCCTCGGTCGGGGTGCTGTGAGTTGGAGTGAACCCATGGCAGTGGGTTTGTGTTTGGTTTTGTACTGATCGTAGGTCATTATATCTGAACTTCTTCCACAATTACAATGAGAAACTATTTTGTGGAAATAAGTTTATGTAAATGTGTACTCATGCTTATTTTACATTTCTTGCCTTTCAGAATTATCATGATATCATGACTCATCACCCTGAGAATTACCAGTGGGAACACTGGAGTCTAGAAAATGTCGCCACCATTCTAGCCCACCGGTTCCCCGGCAGTTATATTTGGGTGATAAAGTGCTCCAGGATGCATTTGCATAAATTCAGCTGCTACGACAATTTTGTAAAGAGCAACATGTTTGGTGCCCCAGAACACAATACAGACTTCGGAGCTTTTAAGCACCTTCGTATGTTACTAGATAATGCTTTTAATTTAACTCAAAACAATCTGCTGTCAAAGAAGAACGTGAATGTTTTGAATAAGGATTCCAAATCAACCAATTGTAGCTCCACTTCTTCTCACACTACTAATGGTTGCCAGGGAGAAAAGGAGAGGACCTGTGAAAATGCCGCGGAGTCTGCCATGAGCTTTTATCCACCGTCACTGGACGATGCATCTTTCACTTTGATTGGATTCAGTAAAGGGTGTGTCGTTTTGAATCAGCTGCTTTTTGAATTGAAAGAAGCCAGGAAAGACGAGAGCACAGACGCCTTCATCAAAAGCATAAGGACAATGTACTGGCTGGACGGTGGCCATTCTGGAGGAAGTAATACTTGGGTTACGTATCCAGAGGTCTTGAAAGAATTTGCACAAACAGAGATTATTGTTCACACCCATGTAACACCATACCAAGTACATGATCCAATGAGATCGTGGATTGGAAAGGAGCACAAGAAATTTGTTCAGCTACTTGGTGAGCTTGGCATGCAGGTAACTAACCAAATTCATTTTGCAAAGGAAGCGCCTTCCATAGACAATCACTTCAGGGTTCATGAAGTATTTTGAGATCCAAGAAGATTAATCCACTTGTTCAGTGCAATAGCATAAGCACTTCGTTAAAAAATTCACATAACAAGATGCAAATTAAACGATCAGTTTGGAAGAGGGAGAACACATTCCTAACAAGAGTGCAACGTGCAGTAGTTGTTTTCTTTGGTTTACATGTGAAGTTTTTAACGTGGACTGTCAGAATTACAGTTACTTTGAAACCTAAGACAGTGGCTTGTGATCATCCTATGAGGAAATAAAAGATCTGTAAAAGTGAAAGTTATAGTCTATAAAAGGCACTAAAATTATTAGTTAATAGTTAATTTTGGGTCATGTGTAATGTTTTACACTAATTTTAGTGACAGTTATTTTGGCATCCAAAACTTTTAAGTGGAAAAACTAAATTTTTCTTCAAACTAAACAAAGACACACAAATGTTTTTTCATGATTTTGAAATAACCACCCTGCTTTTTTTTGTAAACTACTGGACTTACTCTGTAACATGTCGATAAGTGTATTTTTCTCCAGAGTTGAAATATTTGTTTCCAAATATAAGCCAAGAATGCAGTGGTATAAAAGTTTATTTTAAAAAACATATTACACTTAAGTGCTGTGGCTTAATTTTTAATTGAGAACTTTTCTATAACATTTTTTGGGGTACTGTAAATTTTGGACAACTGGTTTAAATTGAGCATAATATGTATAATGTGTCAAAATATACTACAAAGCAGACTTCAAATCTCAGTTTTGAAAGATATCAACTTAGGTAAAATAAATATATAATGCTTCATTTGAAGATTCCACAGATCTAAATCAGTGCTTCTCCAGAAGCGTGATTTTGTTTGCCAGAAAACAACAGTTCTCTTTGGCCAAAATGCAGAATTACATGGCTGTTAAGAAAAGTTCCATGGGAAAGTTTGAAGACACAAATGGCTTACTTAGTTTGGGCTCAGAAACGGAATTTTCTTAATACTGCTACCTAATTTGGGTGAAGTGTCCTTCTGCCCATTTGTTGTTTTGTTTTTCTTACTTAGAGAAGTACATTTTGAGAGATCAAGGTCGAATGTCAGCCAACTTTGAAACATAGCTGTACAATTTTAATAAAAGGAGAGGTGTAATGTTCTGCAAGTCATGAAATAAACTGGGAAATAACATGCAGCTTTAGCACTGAACATGACACCGAAGTATAATGAAATAGATAGGAAAGTATTTTGTGCTTTCTTCCCAGAATTACATTTTAATGACTATAATTATATTCCCAATAGTCAAACTATCTTACCAAATGCTTTTTAAAAGTTTTTGTTTAACTTAATTCTACAAACTATAGAACAGTATCTCTAAATGTTTTGTTTCCACAAAGTAATTTTGTATTTCTTCAGATTCTTTAAATACCTGCAGTTTCTTTTGAGACCAAAAATTTCTATCAATAAAGCAGGTCAGCCTGATTTCTAGCCTTTTACATACTACAGTGCCTTTAAGCACCATAAGTGATAGGGTGGCTGTTTTCAATGTTTAATACGTGGTTAAATTCACATTATCTAACATAAAAATAGCTGAGTTTCTGATGCTCTGGCGCAGTGCTTCTTGACCCTTTCATACAGTTCCTCGTGTGGTGGTGACCCCCAGGCATACAATGATTTTTGTTGCTGCATCATAACTAATTTTGCTGCCGTTATGAATTGGCCAAACCCTGTGAAAGGGTCGTTTGACCCCCAAAGGGGTTGCAACCCACAGGTTGAGAACCGCTGCTCTGGAAGGAGGAAAGAAGTTGATTAACTAAAATGATAAAAGTAGGATTTTTAGCAGAAATATAGGCTTAAAATCTGAGACATTTAAAAATCGTGAGTTCTTCAGCTGTCTGCTGTCATGTGCCTGCTTAACTAGACTGATTCTGTTCTGTGACTACTAGGAACAACTCAACAAGGCCCCTGGAACTGCCATCCCATCAGAGACAGTGCTGGAAAGTAAAAATATATTGTTGAATTAAAATATATTCAAGTTGACTCATGATCAGATATTTTGTTTTATACCTCATATCTGTTCTCCATATTTGTTTGAAACTGTTTTGTAAATGTTTTGAATTGTATCTTTGTTGTGAGTCAATTGAGAATTAGTCATACAAATTATGTGAAAGTTGTAACCACCACAGCATGAATGTACCATCTTATTAAAATTAATAATCTGCAGAAGTCTGTTTGGGTGTGATTTATCTTAAAGTTCAGGTATTTCAAAGGAAGCTATTTTCCTCACTTTGCCAATTTGGGTTTATATATGTAGAAGCTTTAAAAATTCATGGAAAAATGGAATGAAGAATAATAGAATTTTCCCACAAACTCTTTTGAAGCCCCTTCATACGTGATTTTATTCCAGATGAGCAGCTTTGGACCCTTCCTGTAAAAGCACATCTCTCCTAGTGGGATTTCATACAGAAGAAGACATCTCACATTCTTTTCTGGACTAGTAATTTCAGGTGTCTAAAATTTGGGCACCTTACGGCGCCCAGGTGGTGGTGTCAGGTAAGCTGCTCCGTGGGAGCAGGGTGATGCGATCTGTTTCCACGGAGGCTGCTGTGGTTGTTGGAATTGACCCGATGGCAGTGGTGGCAGTCTTTAGTAGACTTGGTTAGAATATGAATATGAAATCTATTTTTCATTATCTAGCACAATATTCCCCAAAGTGGGCGACATCTCTCCCCAGGGGGCATTAGAATGACCAGGGTGTGGGGGAGAAACCTGCAAAAGCAGATAACCACATTTTATCCTGGATTTTGAGCCTAGAATACAAAAGTTTTTAATTGCCAGGGAGGCACTGGGCAATTTTTTTTTCCTGGAAAGGGGGCAGTAGGCCAAATAAGTTGGGGAAACTGATCTATTGTCTAAGTACTCACCAAGAGCACATAGCACTTGATTGAGCACTTGATATAATAAACTAGGGCTTAAGTGGTAAAATGGGAAACCAAAGTTAGAGTTGTGATAAGCTTAAAGGCCTCTCAAGAGTCGATGGGATGGCAGTGGCTTGGTTTTGGGGGGCATTAGGAGAAAAATACACATTAGAGGATAAGACGTGGCTATTAGGTGCTATAGAGTTGATCCTGACTAACTCATTGGTGACCCTACAGAGAACTACCAGTAGGGTTTCCTCGCTGGAATCTTTATGGGGCAGGTAGCCTGTCTATCTGTTAAGCCTCTGATGGGTTCAACCTCAGGCCTTTCAATTGACAGCCAAGTACCAGCTGGAAAAATCTATAAATTCAAATCTACAAAAGCAGAGAAACCCAACAGCCCTCTTACTGGTGGAGAGAGAGGCAGAGTTGTTAGGATGGTCAGACCTTTTCATATGCCACTTCACCTAAAAGAGAAAAAGCACTTCAGATGCATTTTGAGACTCAATGGTCATGATTATTTGTTCACACTGTAGGATAGTGTGATACCACTATTCCAAATCCATCCAGGCATGCATTCCACCTCCTGCACTTTTTTCTTGACTCAGGTTCAGCTTCAATGTCTACTGGTAAATTTGGATGAAAGAAAAACATTTCAAGTTCATATAGTTGCTGAAAAAGGTCAAAAAGTTATGAAATAAGCCTCGTTAACTGTTCCTTTTGTATTGATAGTGCATGAAAGTGAACTTGAAATCGCTAAATAAATACAATTCTAATGCAGTGGTGTACCTAGACAAATTATACTTTACACATAATGTTTTTGAAGTATATGTACAGGAGCGAAAAAGAAAATGCAAAATTAGTTTCCAGTTTGCCTGGAGACCATTCATTCTCTCAGAGGCAACTGCTACCCATTACCACTAGTTTGTGTGGGGTTGTAGTAATGATCTTATGCATATAAAATGTTTATATGTAATTACAGCTTTATCTAACAAACAGCAGCAGTTTCACACCTGTTACCTAATTGCCTTGTATAACTTCAATGCCAGTCCAAGAACTCCAATATTTACGTTGTATTCCATTTTATATTACTCTGCTGTCTCCCTATTCATGTTTTACTTTAAAATTTAAATCCTTGTTTTAAGCAGCAAGCTATGCAGTGAGCCATTTTGTTGTAAAGTCTTAAGTTTTTTTCTTTGTGCATCAAGTCAAACCCCCCCACATTCTGTAGCGAGAAAAACCACATTTTCACTCTGAAATATTTGAATTGTGTTGCACATAAAGGCAACTGAATTTTAATCTGGTTATGACAATGGGTCCCAGTTTCTCCTGCCCAGCGGTGTGAGCCTGAACAGTGATTGAAGCAGTGTGGGGTGATGATATCTAAGATCCCTTCCAGCAGTAAAATTCTAATTTAGGATTACTGAGAAGTTGCAGCTAATGCATGCTATATGTCTTGTTCTTTAACAAAGATCTCAATTGTATTTTAAATAAACAGATCCTAACATTAAGTGCCACCAGAAACTTTGGTATTAGAGAGGAGGTTATGCATTGGACTGCTAACGTCAAGGTTTGTAGTTCAAAACCGCTATCCACTCCCAGGGAGAAAATTGAGGATTTCTAATCCCATAAGCAGTTAAACAGTCTCAGGAACCCAAAGGGGCAGTTCTACCCTGTCCTACAGGGTTGCTATGAGTCAGAATTGACTCAATGGCAGTGAATTTGGTTTTTTGTTGTTTTGGTTTAACATTCAATACTATGATCAGGGCTCATCTTTACCTTTCCAAGAGTTTAATATATTGCAACATGCTCCACCAGAAGGCTCTTAGAAATGATACATAGAATTGAAATGGAAAAACTAGCACTAGCCATGACTATGGGCCTGTCCTTCAACTACTGTCCTGCATTCTCAAAACTTGTGTCAGCTCTGTTTTAATAGAAAGTCTCAGATCTTTTAATTTGCCCAAGGTCACAGTCTGCTCCATCAAAGATGAATTAACATGAGTATTTGGTGGGAAGAGTAAGTTTTACTTCCAAGTTTCCTATTGGATTTTAGGTATACACATATATTTTGCAGATTCTTTAACTGTTCTTGTTGTTTTAAAAACCAAGGAAGGCTAAATATATACTCGGCAAAGTCATGAAGTTCCCCCAAGCTCGTCCTCTCTCCCTCAACCTACCACCCCCACCTTCTCCCTGTTCCACCCTCATCCCTGGTTTCAATATACTTTTCCTAAAAGAAAATCAATCATTAATGAAGCTCATTGCAGTCCAAGAAATAAGCCAAGACCAAAATCTAATACTAGACTTATTCAAACAATTGTCTTTTTATATTTTTGTTGGCCTAAATAACTTCAATTTCTCTTCCCAAAGACACGAAATTCAGAATGATTTTTTACTATTTCCTTAGCTTACAATTTTAATTTGCTTTTTGCATATGAAATTCAACTCTATACAAGATATGAATAGATGGATTATCTTCAATAGAGAAAATGTTTTTCCCAAATTAAAATACTCTAAATTCATATACTCTGATATGGCTTCACATGGGTACATTTGTCCTCAAAGTTATTTGGGCTTTCTTCAGTGACCTTACAGTGTAATCACCAATGGCCAAAGAAGGGTACATCCACATACAAAGATCATTATCTTTCAATGAAAATATTAGGGTCTCATAGTTTTTTTTTTTTCTTCTTTTAAAAAGGGAACAGGTGAAAGTTTTTAGTGGGGACATTTTCATCCAGCTAAATTAGGTCTAAAAACTGGATTTGTTTCTAGTGTTCAACTATTACAGAAAGGGAGAAGCCGAGGCAAGAGAAACCAGGGCCAGATTAAACATCTGAACAAGTCACAAAATAGTCCAAAAGACCAGCTTTTTGTTAGGATTATGCAACCAAACTATGAGGTCTATTATTAAATACATACACCTATACAAAATCCCAAACATACAAGTTTGGGGTTTAGGCACCTATATGGTTTAAAATGTTCATCAAACGATTCAGTCTATTCTAAGAAAATGTACGATTGTTGCTTATCATAACCCTGATTTTGAAATATATACTTTCTGTTCCAAAATACGCCTCCCGTGCCTTGATGGAAGACAATTCAATCCTGGCCCTACTAAAGCTGACTGCCCCAAGTGCTGACTCCATGTTCTTCACAGTCACTGACAGGGATGAACAGATCTAAGCTCTTTAGACCACTGAGACCTCAGACTTTGCTAAAGAATCCTGGGAAAGCTTTGTCAGACTACGTGAGGGCTCCTGGCATCCAGCCTGGCTCTTCCGCTGCATGGAAATGAAGTCGCACATGGCCCCAGCAGCTACTGGCAGAGATCCCATAATCACGAGGGTAGCCAGCCTGAGGATAATGCTAATGCTGTGGTTGAGAAGAGAAAAACAAAATGAAAACCCTAGATTCTTGGTGACATCATCGGATCACTGGATCAGAAACACTGAAGCCTCTTCTACCAGAAGACTTCATGTATTTCAACCCAATAGTTTGTTACTGTTTAAATAATGTTGGATTGTCCCCCCAAATTACAAAGTGGTACCAGGACAGCAATCTTTCAACTATCATAATCTGAATCAACTAGAACCACACAAACACGCCTTCATACTATTTATAAATCTGAAATTGGGTTATCCTATTTTAATAGAATGTGAAAAGCAACTTTTTAATATTTGAGTTTTATTAAAAAGTTTACATCCATCAGTACAGCCTTATTTACTCAAAGTTCTTGCTATAGGCCTTGTCTTGAATGTGTAAAACCATTCGACGTGCATAGAAGTCTCTGTATTCCTCTGGTAATTCACCCAGTGTTTTTAAAGCTCTGTCCAAAATCTGTGCCGCTCTGGACGCCGCTACCAGATCTTTGTTTCCGTAGGTGTCTGTCTTATCATAGCACTCAGAAGGAAGGTGCTTCCAAAAAACATTCACTCCCACTCCAAACTCTTCTGAAATGATGTTATGGAACCATAAAGCTGCAGAACGTGTTTTAAAAAACAAGTTAAAAATAAAACCTAGTTAAAAAAAAAGATACCAACCCCAAAATGTCAGTGAAATATCACGAATTACATATAGCCAATGTAAGAACTCATTCCTGTAACTAGATCATTTCATTAGCACACTCCCAACTTTAACAGAAGCATTTTCATTCTAACTTTTGTGAATTGCCAACCAATTTAAAGTGTCAATAACACAACCCTTACTTTTAAAACCTTTAGAACTAGCTCCCCCTCCCCTTTTAAGGCATAATAAAGTTGTATTTGTTTTGTACTTCTCTCATTTGGGGCTGTGGTTTGTGTTACTTGTTTACACTTCCTGAGTAATGCAGCCACATCAAAGTAGTACATTTTTTGTATACAGAACATTTCAATTATTTGAGGGGAATCTTTGGCCTTTTCTGATTCAGTACAGTAATCTTGTACTTTTGTTTCCAAAGACTTCCTGTTCAAGTACAATTTGGTTCTCGAACTTGCTTAAATCTGTATCCACTGTAGCCTCCTCAGTTTCATATTTCTGATGCCAGTATAATGATTTTTATTTCTTCGAGCTCCTTTACAGTAAACTATAGAACCTAAAGGAAATACTTTGTGGTGGAAGGAGTTGGTGAACTTTATTCTACTATATAGCTAATTAGATTATTTAGTCCCACTAGCGAGTTTATTTTTAAATGAATCTAAAACAAGAAATCTTTGTGGTGTTTTTTTTTAAATAAAAAGTTCCTATACATGCTCTAAGAATACTAAACTGACATTACAATTTAACAAAGATAACACATTAACATTAGAAAATGTTCAATCTCAAGTGGAGACAGGAAGAATAAGACGCTAAACTTTAGGCACAAATTCATTCTAAGATGTTCTAGGAAACAAAAGCTTAAAATAGTTTTATTTGCCCAACTAGTTTTCAAACATGCTTTTAATCTTACTGACTTAAAAGTTTTCATTAAAAATTTCAATATAAAAAGGCAGCCATATTATTAAATGTAAATCCAAACCTAGAGCTTGTTATACAAATGCTCAGTATTTTCCAACATTATATACAAAATAAGGGAAAACTGCACACCTTCCAAGATATAAACTCCAAAATTTTAAAAATTAAAACTATTTTAAATGGCAATGCCACTTAAAAATTAATATGCTGGTTATTTTCAGTGAATTTAAGAATTAGAAGTCAAGGTATCATGTCTCTATAGACAAGTAAAGGATTTTGTATCTGGTCCTTTGGGAAATACAAACAGTAATAAAGCCTGGTTTCATGTCCTCAAAATTTATAATCTAGCCCAACTGTTATAATTTTATTTTTAAAGTCTACTTTCTAATTTGCCTACATAATAAAAAGAGGTATTAATGATTATGAATATATATAGATAATGAAAATACAAGACAAAAAAATGTGAGACAATTGCTTTATCTTTAATTCTACTCTTACATGAATTTAAGTTCCCCAATACAACTATAAAAAGAAATTTTTTCTAAGTTCTAATTTTTCATATTTATTTATTTACATAAAGAAGAATGTGTACTCCATGAAAATATGCATTATGCCTACTTAACTCGCATCTTTTTAATTATTATTTATTTTTTATCATTTTATTGGGGGCTCATACAACTTTTATCACAATCTTAATGTATATCTTTAATCTTAGGTATGATTTCTATAATTCAGGCAGGTACTCACTTTTAAATATGAATAACAGATATCACTGATTAGTAACATCATGAAAATTTTTGAGGTTTTCAAACTAACATTTGTTGCACAAGAAATGTAGGTGCCACTGGTGGTGCAGTGTTCGTGTGTGCGTGCGTGTGTGTG